GCTCTTAAGTTAGGTACATGAAGGATATAAAGCAGGGGTCCCCAACCGCCGGTCCGCGGACCGGTACCGGGCCGCGGAACAAGCCTTACCGGGCCGCTGGTTGCTGGGCGCCGCCATCTTTTTTGACGAAAAATCACTTCCGGTGACGTCACCGGAAGTGATTTTTCGTCAAAAAAAGATGGCGGCGCCCAGCTGACGCCGGAACCGGGCCGCGGCGCCCAGCTGACGCCGGAACCGGGCCGCGGCGTCGAAAAGGTTGGGGATCCCTGATATAAAGTATGTATGCTTGAGGATTATTTAATGAGCTTGCAGACTGGGGAAAAATGAGTCTTTCTATTTCTCTTTTAACCCTTCGCCCTCTTAGCCTGGTTGAAGCCACACGATATGGTGTAACCTGGTTTGTTTGATATTGGCCTGTGTCTTTTGCTGTTTTGGTATCAATAACCTATGGCGTAAGCAAGCATGTGAACCCATTAAATATGTCCCTGCTTTGAAAGATTCACCAAACAGTTAATAAGAGTTGAAATTCTAAAAAGGACAAAAGATGATGGATAGATGTAGAATATTTTTTTAATGTGGTTATTTTATGAAGTGTTAGAAAAAAGAAGTAGAAAGTGGAAATTGGGAAAATAGTGGTGAGTTGGCCATGGTGAATTGGTTGTGGCGAGTTGTCCTGCAGAGAGTTGGTGTCATGCCCCTGGTGGAGACTGACTCTGAGGAAGAGGAGGAACAGCCAACAGGGAGTGGAAGTGTGGCTCCAGAGGTGGTGGAGGAGGCTGGGGAAGGGCAGAGGCCGGCTGAGCAGTCAGAGGAGGACCCAGGTCCATCCCCTATCCATCCTAGGCCACGCAGGGAGGAGAGGATCAGGGTAAAACGTGGTTTACTCAGGAGGAGAGGGCCATGATCCTCTTCATGGGTTGCAGGTGTGAGATCTGCATAAAAGGTTGGACCTGCGTGCTAACAGACGCTGGAGACATATTAGTGTTTTATTCCTAAAGAAGGTTTATCTTGGTTGGCGTTCTTCCAATAGACTGTCCCTGGTTATCTTCCTGAAGTTGGCAATTATCCTGGTCTGTCGTGGAACTTTATTCAGTGCGGTTTGTTTTTGGTTTTTTGCTTCATTATTGGCTCTTTGAATTTGAACTGTTTCTTTCCTTTGAAATGTTATTTTGAAAATAGTTTACTCCTCCACTGTGAACAATTAAACAGTGAAGCCAAGTTGAAGGCATTAAAGGACTTTTAGTTACATTTTGGATTTTGTTATATTTCTGATATTCTCTGGGTCATCACAGTTGGCCATGGTGAGTTGTCTTGTGGCAAGTTGGCTGTGGTGAGTTGTCCTGCAGTGAGTTATCCGAGGTGAGTTGGTTTGTGGTGAGTTGGCCATGGAGAATTGGTCTTGGCGAATTGTCCTGCAGAGAGTTGGCTGTGGTGAGTTGGCTGTGGTGAGTTGGTCATGGCAAGATGGCCATGGTGAGTTGGTCCATTTCCTCAGTGGATTTGCTGTGGAGCTTCACTCTTAAGACCACAAGTGAGAAGTTTAGATAAAGGTCGGTTGTGTGAAAGATGGAGGGATGAGCTGTACCCAATTTCTCCCAAACAGAATCGGTTCTGATCAAGTTTATGTCTTCAAATTTGGTTTGGTAGTCCTCGACTTCTAACAGTTCATTTAGTGACCGTTCAAAGTTACAATGGCACTGAAAAAAGGGACTTATGATCATTTTTCACACCTACGACAGTTGTAACATCCCCATGGTTCCGTGATCAAAATTCAGGTGCTTGGCAACTGACTCATAGTTATTTTTTTTAAAACAAATTTTATTAATTTTTAAAAACAATACACAAACAAACAAAATGTAGAATATAATAACATAAGACATCTTTTCTGAAAAAACAAATAAAACATCTTATTTAAAGACAGGATAATTCCAAATTATCACATTTCCATACAAGCACAATTTAATATGTATATTTATCTTATCTGTTCAACTTCATATCTTTTCCCAACTTCTCTTTATTTCTCCCTTTCCTTCTATTCAATTATATTTCTTTTGCCTTGGATTGTATATATTCATTGTATCCATCTGTCTTATTTACAATTTCGTTATTCTCTTCCAACATTCTTCTAGCGTTTTATTAATTCAAACAGACAAACAAAACACAAAACATAAATACATAAAACTTCTTTTTGGAAAGCAGCTTACCCCAGGTTACATCTTTTTGTACAGACATAAATCAAATTCATACTCACTCAATATACTATTTCATATCTTATTTAACATTCTATATTTTCTATATATTTTCTCTCTTCTATTCACTTTTTTAATTCTTTTTTATTTATTTCATATCAGTTTAGATAATTATACTTCCATCTTTTGTCCGTTCTCTTTCAATTATCTATTTATCTTTTCTTTCTAATACAATATTTCTCCTGTAATCACTGGTTGAAGTATGACAACTTTTTATCTTTCCCCTAAATTTAACACTTAAAAAATACATACTTTCCATACTGATTCTGCTTAGTACATTCTAAGTACTACATTTTAGAATAATAAAACAAAAAAAGAGAATTAAGTTTATAATATAGTAAAAACAATATTCCATAGGAAGTTAAACTCTATTGTTAAATCTTAAACATTTTTATACATTCCCTTTAATGCATTATTAACTCATACAATATTTCAGTTTTCTAACTCGATTTCAAATACTAATATCTACAATACAGTCTTATGTACTTTTGCAGAATCATTTTTTAAAATTATATTTTACCCTTTGTCTCTGAAAAAAACCTGTTTTTTAACACCCTGTTTTAAACCTTTATGACTTCTCTTTCCTTTTTCCCTTCCTTTCTTATCAATTCTAGCCTTTTTGCCCCCCCATCTCTCAAACTCCACTCTCTTAATCTTCCCTCTCTGTTGTATTTCTCTTTTCTGTTGCTTTCTGACATTGTATCGATTTTTCATCTTATTTTTCCCTTGGTTGCTTTTTTAAGTTCTGAATTCTCCATTTTCTTTCCCCCCTTTCTCTTTTCTTCCTCAACTAAGATTATTTGTCCATTAAAGATGGCTTCTTCTTCTTCATCCCAGCCTTCTTGTTGTTGTATTTCTTGGTAGGTAGAAATCGCCATTTCTAAAAAGTGAAAAATAGATCCAGAAGAGCCCTTGCCTTCTTGTTCCTCTTCTTTTAGCTTTTGAAATTCCATTTACAATTCTTCAACAGATAATGCCATTTTTTTAAAGAACAACCCAAATGTTTTAAATCTTTCAAGAAATAGTTCCCCCAAATCCCAAAGTCACAAAGGAATCCAAATCAGAACAAACTGTTTCATTTAGCACTTTCTTCTTTTTATATTTTCTCTTCCTGGGGTAGAATTCAATTACACAGTTCCAAAGTAATTTTTTAGAAGTCTTATTGCCATTTATTTCTAGTCTTATAAACTCCAAGCAGTCTCCTTCAGTACAATCTTAAAATAAGTTCTTTATCGCTTCCCTCCCACTTATAGCAAAAAAAAAAATTAGTTTTTAATTCCAGTGTTCAGAAATCTTTTATCCCCTTGGCTTTAAATTTCAAGTTTAGTTACCTTCTGCTTTTACAGTCTTCTTGGGAAACAATGTATCATTCAAGCGATTAAATTTCCAGGGTGTTTAAAGGTTCCTTGTTGTCCCGGTTCAGCCAAAAACTCACTTTCTCCGACTTCCTCCTGCACAATCTTACCCGGCTGCAGGCTTCTTTGTGGCGGCCATTGCTGACCGCCGCTCCACTGCCTTGGGAAAAAGGAGTTTAGCCGGCTGAGGAGGGGGTTTGCGATACCCCCAAGCCCCTACCTGGATCTCCTCTATCTTCGGTTGCCTCTACAGGGCAACCATATCCTCCAGATCCAGCGGGATCGGAGGCACATCGGCGGCGAGCGCCGAAGAAGGACTTGGGGGGCGACATGATAGCAGTATTTCAGTACTTGAGGGGCTGCCCCAAAGAAGAAGGGGTCCACTTATTTTCCAAAGCACCAGAAGGCAAGATCAGAAACAACAGATGGAAACTCATCAAGGAGAGAGGCAACCTGGAATTAAGGAGAAACCTCCTAGCAGTGAGAACAATTCACCAGTGGAACGGCTTGCCACCAGTAGTTGTGGATGCTCCAACATAGGAAGTTTTTAAGAGATCGGACAGCCAGTTGTCTGGAATGGTGTAGGGTCTCCTGCTTAAGCAGGTGGGAATGGACTAGAACAGCAGTAACCAACCGGTGGGCCGCGGCCCACTGGTGGGCCATGAGAAAATTTTGGTGGGCCACAGAGAAATCTCACCCCCAGAGCACCCCCCTCCCCCACAAAGCAATGAAACACAAGGCTGCACTGCCCACATGGCCCGCGGGAACCCTCCCCACCCACTCACTCCTTACCTGGCAAACTTGCCTGCTAAATTTCTATTTTTCCTTTTTCCAACCATCATTTGTTCTGCTGTGCTGGGAGATTTAGATTAGCTAGGAAGCAGGAAATGGTGGGATTTCTTGCTTTCTAGCTGGTCTTTAGATCTTAAAGCAGTACAGCCGAACCTTAGGACTGAAGGTTTGCTTGCAAGCAAATTCAGTGCAGACTCATGGCAAGCAAATTTGAGAGACTGAGCTAGCCGATGGCAGATAGATAGATCACTGAATGATTCTGTGAGCAACTCAATCTGCCTGCTTTGCCTGATTTTGGGTAAAAGTTGTTCTTTTTTTAAATAAAAAATTCAATATTTATATAAATATTTACATACAAGTCATGCCCAGCCAGTCACATGACCACCAAGCCACACCTACAAATTAGGCCACACCCACTGAACCAGTTAGTGGTCCCTGGGATCTAAAATTATGAGTTTGGTGGTCCCTGAGATCCAAAAGGTTGGCAACCCCTGGACTAGAAGACCTCCAACTTTATTCTGTAAGTGGAAAATAAGTTCAGCATTTGGACCCGTTGAGGGCATGTAGAAACGGTCTCTAATGTCATCTCCTCTTTCGTTTGTAGGCCCTGATGCTTGAAAACCTCCAGAAGCATTCAACCCCCCACACCACCTTCCAACCCAATTCTCAGGTAAGATGTGCCAGCCCATCCTTTGTCTGTGGTTGAGCCAGTCCTGGGTCTACCTACTTCCTTTTTTTGTCCCTCTCTCTTTGCCAGTTGACATGGAAATTAATCATAGAGTTTGGCCTCCTTGTGGTCCCAAATAGAAGATTTAATTACCAGTTATCTCCTGTTTCCCTTCTGTGGCTTCCATGCTTGAGTAGCGTGTCAGGCCTTACTCTAGATCTGTTCACCAAATTTGGCAACTCCCATAATTCCACAGCATGGCTGGCTGAGGAATTCTGGGAGTCAAAGTGCACAAGTCTTAAAAGTTGCCAAGTTTGGAGATCCCTGCTGTATATTGGTGTTTCGCAACCGTAATCATTTTAAGATGTGTGAAGTCCTTGGCGGTCTCTGAGCTTGGTTGCTTTCTTGCAGACATTTCATGACCCAACTATGTAACATCATCAGTGCTAGAAGGAAGTGGAGATTGGGGAGAGGAGAAGGAGGGAGAGGAGGGGGAGGGAAGGAGGATGATTGTGGAGTTTTTGGTGCTCTCTGAGCTTCGTTGCTTTCTTGCAGGTGTTTCATTACCTGACCAGGTTACATCATCAGTGGTAGAAGAGAGTGGGGATTGCTCTCTGTTCATATGCAAGTCACTTGCCCTGTCAGTGTTGGTAGGACTGTTCTTGGGCTGTTCCAGTTTCCACTGGGAAACAGCGAGCATCCTAGACCAAACCAAGTCCAAAAACTCTAGAGAATTCCTGGAAGCCTGGCACTCAAACAAATCAGCCATCAACAGGCACATAGTGTCAGTCTCCGTTTGGTTTTGTAGAAACTCTGGCAATAAACCACGTTATTCACAGTTCTTTGTGGATAGATGCGTTTATTATAACTCGTTTCTTCCCAGCACGGCAACAACAGCAATTCCGAGTAAAGCCAGCGCTGAGAGCATCTGCCTCTCAGCGCTTTTTATTATGCAGTCCCAACCCCGTTCAGATAACTAACATCCGCCCTCCCCGTTAACCCTGCTCGCCTCCACCCCGCAATACTAAATGCAGCTAATAGCTGAAAACCATTCCCCTCCCCCGAGCAATACATCTTACAAAACCTCGAGCCACATCCTAACCAACTGTTCCATTTCGGTAAACTATTTCGCCCTGCTGTTCCGTCCCATTGAGCTGTCATGTCTCATCTTGGTAAAATGAGAAGGAGAGGAGCGATAAAACCCTCCCCCAAACCATTCCCTGTCAGATTGTCGTGCGGATAAGGGATTGATGGGTTGAGCCAGTATGGGAACTGCAGGAATGGAGGACCTTTCTCGATCAAGTCAACGTGTCGGAAACGGCAGGAGCGTAGGATCTTTCCCCAACCAAGATAACGTGTTGGGCTTCACACCATAGGACAGGTCAGCAGGATTTTTGAAGCCTGACGCATAGAGATAAGCAACATCTACATATCATTCAAAAGAGACAATCAAAAAGCCAAAATGGAAACAAAAAGTCCAAAACCAGCATTCAGCCCCTAGATGACCGGAGATTAACACCAATATTAACACTAGACCGGTGGTTTCCAAACATTTTCAGTCCACCGCCCCCTTGCTGCTACAAACTCATCCTCAGTGCCTCCCAACCAGGGGTGGGATTCAAATTTCTGTGGGCGTGGCCTAATTTGAGGGCATGGCTTGCTGGTTATGTGACTATGTGGGCGTGGCTTGGTGGTCACGTGATTGGCTGGGCATGGCTTGCTGGTCACATGACCAGGTAGGTGTGGTTTGGTGGTTATGTGACTGGGTGGGCATGGCCAGGTGACTGGCAAACCAAATACAAGTGGTCCTCACTTAATGGCCGGTTGTTTAGCAAGTGTTCTAATTTATGACTGGCCTCCCCAGAGCTACTTGACCTGTTTTTGGAGTTTTGACAGCCATGCACACACATACACACACACTCCCTTCTAACCCTGCTGGAGCAGGTCATTGGACTAGAATCGTCAAAGCATATCTGATTAGATTTTAGTAGTGAATAGAATCTAATCAGAGATGCTTTTGCCGATTCTTGTTGATTTGTTTTATTTGTATTTCTTTATTTTATGTTGCTGAATTGCATTGACATGTGTGTCCCTTCTTGTGCACAGCTTTTGTGCTTCTTTGCAGCAAAAGTTACTGATCTCTGGCTTTGCTCTACTTTTCAAATGCTCCGTCACTGTCGCGTTCTAGGTGCCTGCCCTGCAGGTCCACCCCATTGAGCCCGCTGCACCAGAGGGACCTGCCCAAGCGGAGTGACGGGGAGAGGGTGCAAGCCGTTTTCCACCCACCCACGCCCCCTAACCCCAATTGTGCCTCCATGCACGCACGCCCCTTGCCAAGCTACAGGGGGGGGGGGGGGGGGGGGGGGGGGGCTGTCCCAGACCCCGGAGTGGGTGGGTGGGTGGGTGCAGGAAGACTCCTTAATCCGGATTGCAACCGGGGAAGGGGTGCAAGCCTGTTCCGTTTTCCACCCACCCACCTACCTTTTCCCCAATTTTCCTGGCTTGGGGGGAAAAAAAACAGCGTTGCCCCCCCCCCCCCCCCCCCGTCAGTCCGTTCCTGTGCACAGGCCCGCACGCTCCCGCTCACACACACACACACACACTTTGCACTGACAGGGCATCCTTCCCCCGCCTCCCCCCTTCACTCCCGCCCTCCACCATGCAGGCGCCCTTCTCCATTTGTTACACCTGCTCCTGGCCGGTGGAGGCACAGCACGCCCGGCCCCGCCATGCATCCATCCCATTAATCCTGGCGCCGGAGGAAGAGGGAGGTCCCTCTGCAAAAGCACGGCTCGCTTCTTCCAGCGTCCAGCATTGCAAAGATACCACTGCACGAGTGGGCTAACCGGTTGCTTCCCCTGCTGCCGTTTTGTGCTGGCTGGAGCTGAGCAAGCGATGTTCCCAGCGCCTCCACCGCCACCAACCCTGGTCAGCCACCCCTTCAGGCCACTGGCTCCTCCTCTGCTGCCTCGTCCGCCGTCCGATGCCCTGGCCAGCAAGGCAGACCTGGCCGGCTGCAGCAAGGAGGAGATGGTGCACCGCTTGCGCCGGGAGGAGGCTGAGAAGCTGGCGGCACTTGGTGCAACACAGCTGGATGATCCAGGGTGTGAACCGGCAGCTGCAGGAGCACCTGCGCAAGATCCACGAGCTGAAAGACGTCACTGGGCAACTGCAGGCGGAAAACCGTGAGCTGCGTGACCTCTGCTGCTTCCTGGATGAGGACCAGCTGAAAGCCAAGTGCCTGGCCCGCCACTGGCAGATCTTCAGGCATCACGCTGCGCAAGTCCTGTGCTACGAGGTGGCCCGCTGCCTGCGCAAGCTGGCCAGCTTGGAAGGCCGGCGCCACTGCATTCGAGGCGCCGGCTCCAGAGCGGTGGAAGTCAATGGGGTGAGCCTGCAGTGCCGACGCCTCGAACGCCCCCTGCTGCCTCTTAGCGCCCCCCTAAGGCATCCCACCGCCCCCCAGGGGGCGATACCGCCCACTTTGGGAGCCACTGCACTAGACCAACAATCCAGAAGTAAACAATACCACAATCAAGGAACTACAGACTTGAGAGAACCAAGTTAACGGGAAGCAGCCCAATCAATAAACCACCAAGAACATTCCCAGCAATACTTGCGGGGTAAGACACTAGTACATAAACAAGGAGTAAACCGTACTCCCTTCTACCACTGATGATTTTATCTAGTTGGATCATGATATATCTGTAAGAAAACAGCCAAGCTCAAGAGATCACCAAAGATCCCATAGCTCTCCTCTTGTCTGTTTATATAGTACTGGCTTGTCCCTCACTTATGATGACCCGTAGTCTCTCAAAATAACCCAAAACCCAAAACATATATTAAAGTCCGGTAAAGCCTTCAACTTAACTTCACTGTTTTATTAGGCACAGTTTAAAGTCACAAAAGTAAATAATGAGGCAAACAGAAAACCAAAACAAACTGCATTGACGAGAGTTCTGAAGCAAGCCAAGATAACTAATTATAAACTCCAGGAAAATAACCGAGAAAAGTCCATGGGAAGAATGCCAGCAAAGATAAACCTCTTTCAAGGTGAACGCTAATTGACTTCAGCAATTCTAACTGCGCAGTTGCAAACTTATATACATAGCTCCCACCTGCAAGCCACGAGGAGGATCATGGTAATCTCCTCTTGAGTAGACCTCGCTTTTACCTGATCCTCTCCTCCCTGCGTGACCTAGGATGGATAGGGGATGGACCTGGATCCTCCTCTGACTGCTCAGCCGGCCTCTGCCCTTCCCTAGCCTCCTCCACCACCTCTGGAGCCACACTTCCACTCCCTGTTGGCTGTTCCTCCTCTTCCTCAGAGTCAGACTCCACCAGGGGCATGACATCACTCCTCCTCCTCCTCTCAAGCCCCATTCCCTTCTGGCCTTATAATGTTACCTAGTCGGGTCATCAAACATCTGCAAGAAAACTGCCAAGCTCAGAAAGCAGCAAGGACCCCTCACTCCTCCTCCTCCTTCTCCCAAGCCCCGCTCCCTTCTGGCCTTATAATGTTACCTAGTTGGGTCATGAAACATCTGCAAGAAAACCACCAAGCTCAGAGAGCAGCAAGGACCCCTCACTACTCCTACTACTTTTCTTCCTCCTCCTCCTTCTCCTCTCAAGCCCCACTCCCTTTTTGCCCTGATAATGTTACCTAGTTTGATAATGAAACGTCTGCAAGAAAACGTCCAAGCTCAGAGAGCACTAGGGACCCCTCAGCTCAACCTTGATCTACAAATAATCTCTTCTATTGGCATTTTTAAAATGCATAGACTTCCACTCCCAGGATATTCTGGCAGTTGATGTCTGCCCATTTTAAAATGTTTTAAGCTCGAGCAACACTGCTCAAGGTCAGAATCCTGTTTCCTAAGGTTTGGATCTAAGGCAGGGTGTTCCACTCTTCTGAAGCCTGTTTTGTCTCCCGCGTCCAACCAGATCGGGGAGGAGATGAGCCAAAACACCATCATCAAGCAATACCTGGAAAAACAGCAGGAGCTGCTGAGGCAGCGTCTGGAACGGGAAGCTCGGGAGTCTGCCGACCTAGAAAGTAAGTGGAGTTTGCCCCATGTCCTCCCTCCCCTCCTCCTTTTAAGCCATAATACATGGGGGAAACCCAGCTTGTTTTTGAACCAAACTCATCTTCATTCTTCTTCTGCTTTAAACTTCCTTCTGAGCTCTGTCCGATCAAGAAAAAACCTCTTCGGTAGCCAAGCAACTAAAAATTGCCTTGCAACAAACTGACATGTTATTCCATTGATCGATCGATCGATTTGCATCTCACCTTTATTATTTTTACAAATAAGGTGGCCAACATATCCAACACAACTTCCTCCTTCTTTTTTCCTCACAACAACAACCCTGTGAGGTGGGTTGGGCTGCAAGAGAGGGACTGGTCCAAAGACACCCAGCCGGTTTTGATGCTTAAAGCAGGACTAGAACTCCCACTCTCCTGGTGATTGACCCAAAGTCACCCAATCAGCTTTCATGCCAAGGTGGAACTAGAACCCAATGTCTCTTGGCGATTGGCCCAAAGTCACCCAGCCAGCTTTCATGCCTAAAGAAGAATGAGAACTTATAATCTCCTGCTTTCTAGCCTGATGCCTTAACCACTAGACCAAACTGGCTCTTCGTTTTTCTTTTCTTTTACCTTTCCCTTTCTTGTCTTGCCCTTTCTTCTCTGTTTTGTTTTCTTTATTTCCTCTTCCCTTTCCTTTCCTTTCCTTTCCTTTCCTTTCCTTTCCTTTCCTTTCCCCTCCCCTCCTTCCCTTCCCTTCCCTCCCCTCCCTTCCCCTCTCCTCTTTCCTTTTTGTCAGATTGGGCTAAGGGAAGGGACTGACCGAAAGGCACCGTGAAAGTTTCTGTGGCTAAGGGAGGTCTGGACCCTGGATCTCCCTGGTGCTAGTACAATACCTTCACTGCTACCTATATCTAGTCCTTGACTTAACAATCATTCCTTTAGCGTTCCATTCAAAACCGTTCAAAGTTACAACAGCCCTGAAAAAATGGTCTTCACGCTTATAACCCTTATAGCTCTGCTTAGAAACAGACATGCTGGTCTCAACTGTTGTCATAAGCCAAGGACCACCTGCCCTAATTCTTCCTTGGAGAGCCTGTCTTAGCATTAAAACAGCTGATGAGAATCATCCTTCAGCTGAGAGATTATTTTTTAAGAAAATGTATGTGAATGCCCAACTCTCTGTGACTCCAGCTTCCTCATTCCTCTATATATTCAAGTTGGACAGTGATTAACATTTATATGTATTTATATGTATGGGTGTAGGAATATAATATGCATGTATGTCTATGTCTGCATACATGTATATATGTCTGTATCTCTCTCTCTCTCTCTGTATGTCTCTGTCTCTTTCTCTTTATGTCTCTTCTCTATCTCTATTTTTGTGTCTCTTTCTCGCTGTCTCTTTCTTGCTTTCTCTCGCTGTCTATGTCTCTGTCTCTTTCTTTCTGTCTCCCCTCTCTATCTTTGTGTCTCTTTCTCTCTGTCTCTCTCTCACTCTCTGTCTCTGTCTGTCTCTCTTGTCTCTGTGTCTCTTTCTCTGTTTCTGCCTCTCTATGTCTATATCTCTTTCTGTCTCTCTTCTCTCTATGTGTCTTTGTCTCTCTCTGTCTATGTCTCTGTCTGTTTCTTTCTTTTTGTCTCCTCTCTTTGTGTCTCTTTCTCTCTCCCTCCCTCTCCCTCCCTCTCTGACTCTGTGTGTGGGTCGGTCTGCCTGTCTCTATATGTATGTATGTATAGCATATCTAAACAGGTAATCCTCGACTTACAACCACAACTGAGGGCAAAATTTTGGTTGTTAAGTGAGACATTTGTAAGTGAGTTTTGCCCCATTTTGCCACCATTGTTAAAGTGAATCATTGCCGTCGATAAGTTTGTAACCTGCTGTTTAAGCAAACCCGGCTTCCCTGTTGACTGCTTGTTTCAAACGGGGATTGGCATGATCTCAGGAGACAGTAACGGTCATAAGTCTGAACCCGTTGACAAGCATCTGAACTTTGATCATGTGATGGTGGGGATGCTACAAAGGTCGGTAACTCTGAAAAACGGTCCTGTCACATTTTTCCGGTGCCTTGGTAACTTTTGCATAGTCAATAAATGAACTGTTGTAAGTCAATTACCTGTATGTGTGTTAGGTAAGTATACACTTTTGAGAGTGGACAACAGAATTTCATTTTTAATGTGTGCTTCTGTGCCCACGGGGAAAAAAAAGACAGTAAAGTTCTGAGCTGGAAATATACCATATTTCCCCGAAAATAAGACCCTGTCTTATATATATATTTGCCAACAAAAAAGGCACCAGGTCTTATTTTTGGGGGATGTCATCCACTGATTAACCTCACTTGCGCGTGTCGCCCCCGGTTTAGCTGGAACTACTACTTCTGCGGCTGGCAAGGCTTTCCTGAAGGACTCTGCAGCCCATAAGAGAGCGCCGGATCGATCCAGAGCTTTGTTATCATCTACAGAGGCCTTCAGGAAAGCCTTACCAGCCTTGCTGGCTGCAGAAGAAATGGGCCGGCAAGGCAGGTGTTGGGGTGTGCGAGGCCTGGCTACAACTGTCCAAAGGTAAGTAATAGGGCAGCTCCACCCCCCCATTCCCACCCTAGCTTAATTTTTACCTGTGCACTTTGGAGTGGGTGGGATCTTAATTAGGGTTTATTTGGGCGCAGGGGTAGGGCTTATATTGGGTGCATGTTAGGAATGATAGTCACCTAACTGTTGGGTTGGCAATATATAAACCAGGATAGTCATTTAATACTGTTGTATCTTTAAGAGAATGCTGTAATTGTGATTGGCTGACGTTCCTCCAACAGCCATTAGATGGAGCCAAAAACCTGGTTTGTTCTCTTCTTGCATTTTCCCTTTTGCCTGATCGTCGTTTTGCTTGGATTGCTGTGAGTCTTGCAACTGTTAGCAAACTCCGTTTACTGAACTTTGTTTATGATACTGGACTTCGTTTTTGGATTATCCCTGGACTGATTGTATTGAATACTACCTGCTTTAACCGTGTATGATTTGGACTGTTTGTTGGACTTTGTTTACCCGTTTACTGGAAGTAAAACCTACATTTTACTGTTCAGTGTATCTGTATGCTGGTTGTGTGTTATTCAACACTACTCTCTACGTTTCCCTGAATACACTCATTCTCCTAATACCTCAACAGTGCACATGTAAAATCAAGTTATGACTTACTTTCAGGGTAGGTCATATTTTCGGGGAAACGGGGTAATTCAGTAGCATAGTTGTTAATTGAATCCGGCTTCCCCGTTGATTTCGCTTGTCAGAAGGTTGCAACGGGATCGCGTGACCCCGTGACAGTGAGCGTCATAAATATGAACCGGTTTGCTAAACACAGCTGAATTTTGATCATGTGACCACGGGGAATGCAGCAACGGTTGTAAAGGGTGAAAAATGGCAATAAGATACTTTTTTTCAGTGCCATTGTAACTTTGTATGGTCACTAAACAAAAACCAAGCATGGCCTGAAGAGAAATAATTTTTTGCGATCCCCTCTTGCGACCTTCCAGCGAGCAAGGTCAACAGGGAAGCCCATATTCACTTAATGACCGGGATACGAACTCATTGACCACAGTGATTCACTTAGCAGATGTGGCAAGAAAAGGCATCAAACGGGGGCAAAACTCGTTTAACAAACGTCTCGCTCAGCAACAAAAATCTTGGGCTCAATCCTGGTTGTAAGTCGAGGATCACCTGTAAGGTACAGGTAGTCCTCAACTTACAACAGTTCATTTAGCAACCATCATGGTCGCAAGTCGAGGACTACCTGTATTTTATGAGTGTAAGGCCCCCCAGAGTTACCCCGTAGTAAGATGAGTGGCCAATAAATTTTATATAAGAAAATAATAAACGTTTTGTTCTTTCACCAGGCAAAAGCTGCATCATCTCACGCAAGAGGGAAGAATCGGATGAAGAGGAAACCCGGAAACCAGAACAGCATCTCTCCCGCGTCAGGCAGGTAAATGACAGGAGCACAGGTGGGACGGGAGGGTTCAGCCAGGCCAGAGTCCCATGTGTCTCTGAAGAGGGAGGTGGAAGGGGCCGATGGGCAAGGTGATCGGCAGGAACAGGCGAGAGGGTCTCCCCGTGTTTGAATAAACATTTTTCTGGCCACATTCGGGAAGCCATTGGGTGATTTCCTGATTATTATTTTTTTCATCCTTTTGTGCTTTTCTACAGCCAAGAAGGAGGGCTTAAAGCACCTGTTTTCCCTTAATTCCTCTTTGAAAATAGGTGACAATTAGCACCACTTGTTATTTGGGGTGGGTGAGTGGCTGCTGGATGTTGGCGGTTTGGGCTGCGGGGGGATTGTTGGCTGCTAAAAGAAGCTTCATAAATGGTCCCTTCAACGCATCATAGAATAGTATAGAATACAATAAAATAGAAAATAATAGAAAATAGAACAGAATAGAAAAGAAAATAGAACAGAATAGAATAGGATAGGGAAAGGAGTGGAGTGGAGTGGAGTGGAATGGAATAGAATAGAATGGAATAACAGAGTTGAAGGGGCCTTGGAGGTCTTCTAGTCCAGGGGTCCCCAACCACCGTTCCGCGGACCGGTACCGGTCCGCGGAACAGGTCCTACCGGGCCACTGTCTTGCTGGGCGCCGCCATCTTTTTTTGATGAAAAAGTGCTTCCAGTGAGCTTTTCCGGGTAGAAAGCTCACCGGAAGCACGTTTTCATCAAAAAAGATGGCGCCAGCGCTTCCGGTGAGCTTTTCCGGGTAGAAAGCTCAACGGAAGCACGTTTTCATCAAAAAAAGATGGCGGCGCCCAGCTGATGCCGGTACCGGGCCGCGGCGCCCAGCTGATGCCGGTACCGGGCCGCGGCGCCCAGCTGATGTCGGTACCGGGCCGCGGCGTAAAAAAGGTTGGGGATCACTGTTCTAGTCCAACCCCCTACTTAGACTGGAAACCCTATACCATTTCAGACAAATGGTTCTCTTCTTAAAAACTGGTGTTGGAGCATTCACAACTTCTGGAGACAAGTTGTTCCACTGCTGTAACTGTCAGGAAATTTCTCTTTAGTTCTAGGTTGCTTCTTTCCTTCATTAGTTTCCATCCACTGCTTCTTGTCCTGCTCTTAGGTGCTTTGGAAAATAGGTGGACACCCTCTTCTTTGTGGCAGCCCCTCAACTATTGGAAGATGCTATCATGTCCCCCCCTAGTCCTTCTTTTCATCAAACTAAACATCCCCAGTTCCAGCAACCGTTCTTTGTATGTTTTAGCCTCCAGCCCCCTAATCATCTTGGTTGCTCTTCTCTGCACTCTTTCTAGAGTCTCCACATCTTTTGGGGGGGCTCTGTCATTGTACAGGGGAATGATTGAGTCTGTCATCTGCACCTCTGTAACTGTATGGTTTGGCATTGCAACCAAACAAGACAAAGACTTCAACGGATAGTTAGGACAGCAGAAAAAAAAAAACATTGCAACCAGCCTGCCTTCCATTGAGGACCTGTATGTTCTATGGGTCAGAAAGAGGACTGTGAAAATATCCCCTCACATCCTGGACATAAACTGTTCCAACTTCTTCCCTCGAAACGACGTTATATGGCATTGCACGCCTAAAACAACTAGACACAAGGAGAGTTCCCCACCCCCCCTGTGTCATCACTCTGCTAGACAACTCATTCCCACAACACTGAGAAACTGCTTAGTAGGGCTGTGTTATTATTGTCCTTCTCCTCTTTCCTACAACCTATTTCCTTATCTTATGACTACAACTTTGTTGCTTCTAGCTTACAATTTATATGACAGGTAGTCCTGGACTTACAAAACTTCATTTAGTGACTGTTCAAAGTTACAATGGCACTGGAAAAAAGGGACTTAAGACCATTTTTCATACTTAGGACCTTTGCCGCATCCCCTGTTGTAAGTCAAGGATTACCTGTATATTTTTAGCCATGTTGTATGACTGTAGTTAGTAGTATTATCTTTCTCATCTTCTCTACTACCCCTTCTTATCAGTATCATTATTATGATTGTTGTTACTCTGCTGTTTTGCATATACAGGTTAGTCAACTTACAACAGTTCATTTAGTGATGGTTCAAATTTACAACATCAATGCCAAAAGCAACTTAGGGCCACTTTTCAAACTTACAACCATTGCAGCATTCCCCACAGTCACCATGATCAAAATTCAGATGCTTGGCAACTGACTCATATTTATGATGGTCGCAGCGTCCTGGATGGGTCACGTGATCCCCTTTGCCTACTGTCTTCTGAGCAAAGCCCATGGGGAAGCCCGATTCACTTAACCGTGTTACTAATTTACCAACTACAGGGATTCGCTTAACCCCTGCAGCAAGAAAAGTCATAAAACGGGGCAAAACTCACTTAACAAATGTTTTGCTTAGCCACAGAAATTTTGGCGTCAATTGTGGTCATACATTGAGATCTAGCTGTGCGCTGAGAACTTTTGCATCCAAGACAAATCCCTTGTTGTGTCTAATCACACTTGTCCAATTACTGTATTTTTTGAACTATAAGACACACTTGTCTCCCAAAAGTGGGTAGAAATGTCTGTGTGACTTATGGAGCAAATATTGCTGAAGCCTCGCGCACCTGCTGGCCCCCACCCTTCGGCTGTTTTTGGCCTCTGCACATCCGATTTTTGGCCCTGTTTTCAACCCGTTTTTGGCCTGTTTTCCCAGGGCGTGCAGAGGCCAAAAACGGGGTGTGTGGTGGCCAAAAACTATTTTTCTTCTTCTTTTCCTCCTCTAAATCTGGGTGCGTCTTATGGTCAGGTGTGTCTTATAGTCCACAAAATATGGTAATACTGCTTTATTGGCCAAGTGTGATTAGACACTAGGAATTTCCCAAACCTTTCCAGATTTGCGAATCGGTGGGACCAGGGATTGTTCTGCTCGAACGGACGGCAAGCACATGCATTCAGACCTGGTTTTGTGAGAGTCAGGGATGTGCGGACGCCACTCACACAAATGTAGTGCGCTCATCCACGGCTCATGTAAGTAGGGATACACCCATCGCTTCCGTGGCCCAGTTGCAAACAGGCTCACACCTCAATAGCGGGCCTCAGCCTCCGGATTGGGGACCCCTGCCATAAAGTAATCTATTCTACCCTTTCCCTTTAGGCCAGAACAGTGAAGACTGCAGGAGACGGCCATGCGTTGGTGAGCGAAGAGCAGGAGACTTCCCTTCGGAGTCGGAGAGCTGCCCAGCGCGTGCCTGTCAAAGAGGAGGAGGAGGAAGAGGAGGAAGAAGAAGAGGAGGAGGAGGAGGAAGAAGAGGAGGAAGAAGAGGAGGAGGAAGAGGAAGATGCGCCCCCTTTGCTGGTTGGCCAGAAGCCCGTGAGGCCTGAGGAGCCGGGCATGTCAGCTCCCCAAGAGACGGGCATGTTCCAAGCTTCCCTGCCCATCATCCTGCAAGCCCAGCAAACGGAGGCTTGCTCTCAGATGCCAGACAGCCCAAGTGGCGAAGCCGCCGTACCAGTCCTTGCACACTTGCAGAGGTCAGAAGACGAGGAGGCTCAGCCCCAGGTGACAGACCCTGGGGAAAAGCAACAGGCAGCTCTAACCCTGGTGGAATCCCCCGTGGAAAAGGATCCTCTCCCGGATACCCCAAAGGAGGTTGTACCCCAGTTACCCGAAGCCATAAAAATGGAGACTGAGGAAGACCCGGGTCTTCCGAAGGAGCCGAGTTTGACTGAAACTCCCCAGGAGAAGGAGGAGGAGATAATGGAACAGGGCAAGACCCCTGTGGCTGTTGTCTTGCAGAAGGAGGGCGAACCCCAGAGCAAGGGGACCCCAGAAGCAGCAGCAACCCAGGCACTGCGCAGGCTAGAGGAAGAGGCGTCTGCTGCCGCTGCGGCGCTAGTACAGACCTCTCTGTCTCCCCCACAGCTGACTGAAGCACAACAGTCACAACAGGATCCACGGGGGGACAAACCACCTCCACCGCTCCTGACCAAGGAAGCCCCCGCGGGACTCGCTCCCACGGAAGATGAAACCCCTCCTCAGCTCTCTCAGCCGTCCCCCCCCGCTCAGGAAGCTTCAGCTGTGGCCAGCCTGGGAGCCTCGCTGTCCCCCTTGGCGCTCCTGCCACACCAACCCTTATGGCCCGGCAGCTCCCGCTCCTCCTCGCCCTCCAGCTCCTCCCGCTCCTGTTCTCATTCCCATTCCCTGGGCAGCTCACCGCTGTGCTTCCTGGCTAGGAGGACCTGCTCCGCTTCCTCTGAATCACCTGCTCAGAAACGACCAGCTTTGGAATCACAATCCCGCTCCGGCTCGGAGCAGCATAGCAGTTCAGGCTCCCGGTCCCGTTCCAGCAGCGGGGGCAGCGGGGGCAGCAGCAGCAGCAGCAAGGTGAGTGGATTCAGGGGTGGGGTCTTTACAAACCAAGTCGGGAAATTTTACAGGTCGTCCTCGACTTAAAACAATTCCGTTAGTGACCATTCAAAGTTAACAATGGCCCTGAGAAAAAGTGACTTATGATTGTTTTTCACACCATTGCAGCATCCCCATAGTCACATCATCAAAAAACTAGGTAGGTAGGTAGGGAGAGACAGACGGATGGACAGACAGACGGATGCATGACAGAGATTAGATAGATGACAGATTAAATGATAGGTAGCTAGGTAGGTAGATGACAGAGATTAGGTAGGTAGGTAGACATGACAGATATGGACGGATGGATGGATAGATATAGGTAAATGATAGATTAGATGATAAGGTTGTTCTGACCTAGGCTTCACAAAATCATGAAGCAGACTCCTCGTCCCGACAAAACCCATTTTATTTAGGCTAATGTGAATTCCTCTCATTCACATCCAGCAATGTCCCAGCAAACAGTCTTTCAAGAGTGATTTACAATCACGGACCTTATCAGGCTTGGAGAGTTGCCAGGCCAATAGCTTCCAAGCGCAACGCTGTGGCAGAAAATACTTAGCAAGGAGTCAGGAACAAATCTTCACCCTAATTAAATGAACTAATTGTCTCCTGCAAACCCCACTCCCCTTTCGCTCCTCTTTTATACTCTAGGGGAGGGGCCAGTCACCGTCCACCTGTGGCTTTAGTCCCAAGTCAACCCTTGTTCCTTAGCTGTTCCCTTCTTCTGGCAGCTCTGCGCATGCGCACACTGGGAACAGGCTCCAGCTGTTCTTCTGCCCCACTGATGTCTGACTCGGAAGGCAGCTGATAACTGTCAGACGGCCCTGGGCCCATCTCTGCCTCTGACACAGAGCACTTGTCTGAACCTTCCCCAGACTCCAGGACAAGGCCCATATTCCTCCCCAACCACCTCACTGTCTGAGTCTGCTGCCAGCTCAGCTGGCAGGCCTCAACATAAATAGACATACATACAGATAGATAGAATAACTTTATTGTCACTTTGAATGTCCGCTAATTGGCATACATTAATATGAAATTTTGTTACATCCAGCTCTCAAAGGGTCGCCACCTCCAATATACACCACATAAACATGACAGAATAAATAAATAAGTACAAAATGACTGTCAGCGTTCCAGCAAACCTCCATTTTCCCTTGTAAGGCTGCGACAGGTCAGGATGGGTGATACTCTATTTTAGCTGCTTAGGACTGAGTCTGTGCAAAAGGCTTATTAGCCTAGCTCCGCCCACTCTGGGTAGCTCCTCCCAGTTTCTACTCAGTCCTTAGCAGAGTAGGACGCAAAGTATTGCCTCTCCTGCCTTTGGAGGTTTTTTGAGTCCAAAGGCAGCCTTGCAAGGAAATTTCTTCTAACAGAGAAAAAAAGCCTCCCTTTACATTCCCCCTTTGAATTTGGCACTCCGCTTCAGAGCTGATGTTTGGGAGCCGTCAAACAGCTGAGGACTGCTCCGGAGGTCTGGAGCAGCCTGCAGGGGCTGCGGGGGCCTTTTTTCAGCCCTCCAGGGCGAAGATTGGAAGTTTTTTCTTTGGTCAGAGGACTGTTCTTCGAGGGCAGGCAATTCCGCCCTCGTTACAGAGCCGTGGAGCCGTTTAGCCTTGCCGCGGCGAAGGGAAAGCCGGCTCTTTGTCGGGCGGCTTTCTGGAGAGCGGGGGCATCGGCCACGCTCTATTTGGAGCCGCAGGGTCGTTCCTTCCCCCGCGGTGAAGATTAGCAGCAGCTGGATAGCGCTGCTGAGTTTGGGGCTGCATCGGAGAGCAGCGAAGTTTGGAAGAAGGGACCCCATGGCCAGAAGAGGCCATATGCAGAAGGCGGTGGCCATTTTGGAAGAGCCTCGTGGCCAGCAGTGGCCATTTTGGGAAGGCCTCATGGCCAGAACGGGCCATTTTGAAGATTACAGGCCGGCAGCAGCCATTTTGAAGAGGCCTGAAACCTTCCTGCCACTCCTGCGCCTTATTTGGTCTCCACCATGCTGATTCCTGTTGTAGCTGTGTGAAGACTGTGAAGGGTAGGCGCTTTATTTCATTCTTCTGGTGGGGGATTAGTTTCCCTATCCTGAGGTGGACCAGGACCCTCGGGCTTTCCAGCTGGGCCTGGTCTATATTTATTGCCCTATTAGGCCCAGGAGGGTACGAGTCCCAGTAGGAAATGTTAAAATGTCCTACTGAAGGTTCATAGGGCAGAAGAGACTGGTGGTTGGAGTGGGGATGGAGTATTCCCCTGAAGTCACTTTATAAATCCCTTTGTGTGCTCTCCTCCTCGCATAGGACTTTCAGTCCAGAATAGGCCTTGCTGTACTAAGATGGCTGAAGCCCCAAGGGAAACCAGAGCTTCCAAAGCTGGCTCCTGCTGCTTCTACCAAAGGAAAGTAGCCTGTGAAGAAGGCCTCAAAAGCGGAGGAGAAAGATGCTTCTATGGCGCCATCAGGCCATAGAGAAGCAGATAGCCAAGGTGCATCAAGCCTCTACTTGCATGCCTGATAGAGCTACTTCTCCAGCATCACTCATCAGTGAAGTGGATTTGGAGGAACCTAGACCTTCTAGACACGGCATCCAGACTTGGTCCCCTGATATGTCCAGGAGAGGCGCTTCTCCCATTCCTTCTGAAGGAGGCAGTCAGCTTGATGATCTTCAGGACGAAGCTGTACCTTGACGAGAGCGTGGGCGCAGTAGACGGGGTGGAATCCTCCTTTCCTTCTACTGCTGCTGGCCTCAGCACAGCTGAACCTTCTGACCCAGATGTCCCTGTCAAATCTGCAGATCCTCATCGACAGAGCCATCTGGAAGGGCATCTCAGAAAGTTTGCAGAGAGCGACCCGACATTCTTCTGCAGCTTCTGTTTTATCAGAGGGAAGGTCCTGGGTTCGAGATGCTCTCTTGTCAGAAAGAGGTTCCTTTCTCCAGGATCCAGTTTCTGGGTTGGCTGAGAACTACGCTCCTGCTACCTCAGTGGCTCCATCACTGGTGGGGGAACCTGACAAGCCGGAATCTGACATGTCAGCAGATGAAGGCACTTCCCATGAGGTTCCTGTATTCACAGGTTGTTTCAAACACACCTTGTTTAGTCCCTTGTTGTCCAAGGCGAGGAACACCGCCAATCTCAAGGGCGCAGATGATGAGGTAGCTGCCTCACTTCTTCCTGAGGAGTCAGATGTTCTGTTCGACGAACCGGAAGTGAGGAAGGAAGTGGTTCCATCTTCCAAACTGTTTCTGAAGGTGATCAGGAAACAGCTGGAATCTCTTGCCTCATGGCGCAGTCCTCTGGCCTCCAACTGCAGGTTCTTTAACGTGGGACCTGAACTCACCAAAACACTCAAGGTTCCCATGGTAGATACTCCTGTAGCAGCTTTGGCCTCCTCCTCGTCTGCTCCATCTGATCCAGAGGAAGTCCTCAAGGCAGAGGAGAAATGAGTTGAACAATAGCTACAGAGATCTCATCTGGTGTCTGCCTGGTTAGTCAAGGCATCTACTGCAGCGTCGTTCTTCACTAGGACGTCGCTCAAGTGCCTGAAGCAGCTGTGGGATAGAATTCCCACATCGGAAGTCCGAGCCCACCAGAATATCAATAAGATCATGGCGGCTGCAGAATTCACGGCTGATGCCACCCTTCATAGTGCTAGATTTGCCACAAAAGCCATTGCTTCCTTGGTGGCGGTGAGGCACATGTGCTGGCTATGCAACTGGCAAGCTGATGGCAGACAAAAATGGAAGTTGGTGTCTGCCCTGGTCCAAGGGAATAAGCTCTTTGGTGAGGTCCTCGAGCCCCTTTTAGTAGAAACAAAAGATAAGCAGAAAATTATTCCTTCGCTTCTCAAGAGGGCTGAGCATTGGGCCACTCCTTACTTCAAATGTCCTCAGTTCAGAGGGGAATCCAGTTCCAGTTTCCACCGGCCGTCCAAGTCCACTTACCAACACCAGGAACCTCCTCCTGCTCGTTCAGGCAAGGGCAGGCAGCAGTTTACTGCAAAACGGCCCTTTTGAGGAGGAGGAAGTTGCCCATACTGTCGCCAGTGGTAGTGCACAGTCTATTCCCATTGGTGGCCAATTAGAATGGTTTGTGGACCAATGGGAGGATATTACTTCTGACGCCTGGGTTTTGTCCACTGTTAGATCAGGTCTTTCACTGGAACTCTACTCCACTCCTCCGAGGTTCTTTATCTCCTACCCAGTATCTAGGGATGCTGGGAGACGGAGTCTGATGGAGTCGGCCATCCAGCATTTACTGGATCTCAAGGCCATTCAGGAGGTTCCCCTAGATTCTACTCTAGAATTTTCATTATTCCCAAGGCCTCGGGGGGTGGGTGGGGTGGAGGACAATGCTTGACCTGAAACGACTCAATAAATATGTTGTGTACAGGTGTTTTAAGATGCACTCTCTTTCTTCTATCTTGAAAAGTGTTCAGAGGGGGACTTCTTCACATCCATAGACTTGATGGAAGCCTATTTGCATGTTCCCATTTGTCCTCTCATAGAAAGTTTCTTCGGCTTTGTTACCAGGGGCGCCATTTCCAATACAGGGCCCTTCCCTTTGGGTTATCTTCTGCCCCTAGAGTTTTTACCAAAGTTCTGGCTCCCCTAGCAGTGCACCTTGGTTCCTTCCTGGTGCGTTTACAGTGTTATTTGGATCAGGGATCCCCAACCTTTTTGACGCCGCGGCCCGGTACCGGCATCAGCTGGGCGCCGCGGCCCGGTACCGGCATCAACTGGGCGCCGCCATCTTTTTTTGACGAAAAAGATGGCGGCGCCCAGCAACCAGCGGCCCGGTAAGAGTTGTTCCGCGGACCGGTATCGGTCCGCGGACCGGTGGTTGGGGACCCCTGATTTGGATGACATTTTAATTATGTCTTCTTTCAGAAGGCTCAGCAGGATCTGCAGGTCACTATGTCCGTTCTGCAGGACCTGGGGTTTTCCATTAATAGGAAAAAGAGCCATTTCTCTCCTTCTAATCATCTTCATTTGAGA